TAATTTTTAAAAATAAAAATAATAATACAAAAATAAAAATAAGAGTTAAGACCTATAATCCAATTAAATTACGCACATAATAATAACAACTCATATAAATAATAAATTTTAAATCAAACATATAACACAAGTAATAGTAACGTCTTATATTAAATATTTTCTTTCCGTAAACAAAATACATAAATATCTACTCGTAAATTACCCAATGCGTATTCAATTAAGTATTTAAATAAATTTCAAATTTAAAACATTATATCTAAAAATTTATAAATTAAATATTAAATATACCTCATAATCAACTTGTATCTCTCAATCCTACTTGCGAGGAAGCCACAGCCACACCCCGAAAAAGAAAAAAGTCAAATTCAAAAGTACAATTAAGAATTTAAGGTGTTATTATCATCGTCAATACGCAACGAGTTAAAATTCATACCACTTTATTAGTTAACTTGTTTCTTTCTTATGCTTCTAAAGTTAATAATTTACCTTGCCAGACGGGTTTGCCCGTTCAAATCACTGCATTTTCATTCTGTATTATTAATGGCCAGATAACAACATATCATATAATCAACCTTTAAAATCTCCAAGTTCCACCGTTTATGGAACCCAGGACTTGAACAACCCATTTTTCCATACAATCCCTGCCAGTGGTGGCTGATCCAAAAAAAAAAACAAAAAACAAAAAAGGAATTTCCCTGCCAGTAGTGTAGCTAGGAACATTTTTTAGAGGGGCAAATGAAATTTAGGGAAAAAAAAAAAAAACATGCATCTTCGCATTAATTAAAGAGTCAATAAAAGGAAAATTTTAATAAAAAATTATATGAAATTAAAACTTTTTAATCTTTTAATAATAAATTATTATTAATTAATGGTATAGTATTACATATAACATCAATTGAAAAATAAAATAAACATATATTAAATAGGATAACACTAATAAGTGAAAAAACGAAAGTAGAAGGGTATTAATGAAAAAAAATATTTATAAAAAGCTATTTTATAAAAAGATGATATTAAACAACTTTGTATTTAATTAAAATTTATTTTTTTTTACTTTTATTTTCCTCATAATCACTAAAATTAAACTTAAAAAAAGGTTAAAAAATAACTAAAATGTATGAAATAAATGAGGATTGCAATAATAAAAATACAACTTAAAGAATCAAAGTTTCATTTCTTAAAAGTTTAGGGGGAGGGGGGGCCTGTGCCCCCTCGGGCCCCCCTTCTATCTCCGGCAGTGAACCCCGTGGTTCTAAGAGCAGTGCAAGGGGCACTCGCCTCTTGCACTTCCGGCCAACACTTCCCCTTTCATTGAGCCACGTAAGCTTGTTTCAGGCTCTGCAGTGCAACCTTTAAACGACCAGAATAACGTGGCCCAATAAAAGTGAAAGTGTTGGCCGGAGAGTGCAGAAGGCGAGTGCCCCTATCACTCCTCGTGGTTCTAATATCGTGGTTTAAAAAGTCCACGTCTCAGCTTGCGATTAGCAGTCGTGTTTGATTCACACAATATCTCTTGCCATAACATGCTTTTTTTTTTTTTTTTTTGGTACATGTAACATGCTATTGTCTGAAGGTTTGGTAAGTTTTCTGTAGGGACTGATAAGAAATTCTTGATTTTGTAGAGGCTATAGCCTTTTCCAAGTCTTCCAAAATCAATTACCTAACAAATGACATTTCATTTCAGACTTGATATCATCAATAGTCATAATCAACCTGTGAATACATAAGAAAAATATCCTACTTCCATTCACACTTATATAGAATACAACAATCTATTATTCCATCTTCTAGTCTAAGATTCTTATCCAATTAGTAATTTGGGGCCAAAATATAATTCAAAGTCCTAGCTCAGGCCTCCTAAACTGAAATTTCCATACTGAAAAACGCGTCGGAATGCCTGAATTTTTTCCACAAAGTCCTTTTCCTTTCCTAAAGCTGAAGCTAGGAAAAGTCACAAATTGTTCAACAGGCATAGAACAAACTAGGGACTTTATTTACCTGCTGCTACGGCCGTGCTTTTTGCACAAAATTTCAATGTCTAGTTCTCAAATCCCTGTTAAACCATGCCTTTTGCTTCTCCATGTTCTCTATGTCTCTTTCTACTTTTCCTGCTGCCAGTTTGTGTTTTAGCTCAAATATCTCAGAATGTAACGTTGGGCTCCTCATTAACTGCAGCACTTGATAAAAATGATTCCTGGAAATCTCCATCTGGAGATTTTGCTTTTGGATTCCAACAGATAGAAGCTGGAATGTTCTTGCTAGCCATATGGTTTGACAAAATACCTGAAAAAACCATTATTTGGTCAGCCAATGGTGAAAATCTCGTGCAACCATGCACGCTCCAGAATTCAACTTACAATAGATGGCCAATTTAGACTCAATGACAGCCAAGGAAAGCAAGTGTGGGCAGCTAACTTGGCTGGCTGTGGTACCGTTTCTTATGCAGCTATGCTCGACTCTGGAAACTTTGTGCTGGCAAGCCAGGACTCCACCAACTTGTGGGAAAGTTTTGATGATCCAACTGATACAATACTACCCACACAAATATTAAACATTGGCAGCAGCCTTGTTGCTCGTTATTCAGAAATGAAATACTCGAGCGGAGGATTTTTGATGCGGTTACAGTCAAATGAAAATCTTGTACTTTCTTTTTTTTTTTTGTAGTATGGACCACCTAGTATTCGGAAATCCACTAGGCCACTGATTAATCTGAATTCGAGCTGAGTAAGATCCAATGGATGGTAAAACTCTTCTTCCCGAGTTTTAACGGAGCTGCATTCTCAGAACTTGAAATCAAAAACTCTAATTAAGCTGAAAGAGTTCCCTGTCAACTTATTCACTCGCTTAGGTAAATCTTGTACTTTTTACTGTACATTTCCCACTGCTTTCACCAAATACTGATTACTGGCAATCTGACACTGACGGAGTTGGCTTTCAGGTTATTTATGACCTATCTGGCTACAGCTACCTACAATCTAAAAATAAAAGCAGAGTCCGTTATATAGCACCAATTGGAGCTTCAACTAGCAACTTCTACCAGCGAGCAATCCTTGAATATGTTGGTGTCTTCAGGCAATATGTCTATCCAAAGAACAATAGTGTCACTGATGGAAGGCCTACGGCTTGGTCCTTGCTGTGCTATGTCCCAGACGATATTTGAAAAAGCATCACAACACAAAACCAAGGTAGTGGGGCTTGCGGGTTCAACAGCTACAGTATTCAAGGAGATGATCAAAGATCTAAATGCCTGTGTCCACCTGGGTACTCATACCTGGATCCAGATAGTGAAATGAATGGATGCAAACAGGCTTATACCCCACAAGATTGTGATGGAGTCCAAGATGCAGATCATTTTGTTATAAGGGAGCTGTTGAATATAAATTGGTGGGCAGGGGATTCTGATCATGTTAGCCCCGTTACTGAGGATTGGTGCAGACAGAGATGCTTAACAGATTGCTTTTGTGCTGTTGCAATCTATAATACAGCTAGTGAATGTTGGGGGAAGAAAATTCCTCTCTCAAATGGAGTGCAACTTAATAATAATGGAACAAAAGCACTGGTCAAAATAAGGAAAGACAATTCAACGACATCGAATCTTATTCTAAAATGCTCTTTATTAGTTCAGCATTTTTGAACCTTGTTCCGTCGATTGCTACCCTTTGGGTTGTTTTCAGGAAAAGAAGGATCATTCAGCCATCCGGAGAAATCCAAGGCGTAAATTTACGAAGCCTCACTTACAAGGAACTTGAAGGAGCTACAAATAATTTCAAAGAACTTGGGAAGGGTGCTTGTTCAATAGTTTAAAAGGGAATACTTGCCATTGGTTGTTACCAATGGCAAGAATTCTTGAACTCTGTTGATGTTGTTAGGCCTCTTCTATGAAGAAGCAAGAGCCCAATAAGGAAACAAATGACAGCAAATGTAAGCAATCAAGATCTGAATTGAACAAGGAAATAGCAGCAAAAGAGGAAGGAAATTATCTGTCATAATTCCTCAACGGTCATAATGCAGAAATTGAGCAACAGTCAAAACAACAGTCTTCTGCATAATTCTAGGTGGGGAAACATGTCATGTAAATATTATATATACATGTCATTGTACAGAACGTTAACAAAATCTGAATATAATTCAGTATTCTCTTTTCTATCACTGTTTTTAATTTCTCTTCATCTTCTAGATGTTGGGTTGGGTGAAGAAATGTGTTAGAACTCTGTTTCGCGTTCATCAAGCTAAATTCTTGAACTCTTGTACATTCTCGCGTGTTTATGTTTGTTAACTCTGTTACTTTGTTCCATCTCCAGCTACTGTCGTGTATGCTTATGAATAAGGTTGACTGC